AATTTCTAGTCTCTTCTAGAAGCTCGTGCAGGTCCTGTCTCTTATACACATCTAGATGTGTATAAGAGACAGGAATAAGAATCAGAAAACGACCAACAATCTAAACAAACATCGTTCCCAGTCTACCGCTGGCTTCCCCGTCGCAACGCGTCTGTTCCGCCAATGACGGGCGGCGCACCTCCTTGTGCTTTCTGCTGCTCGTTGTCGTCATCGTCGTCATGTTCAATCTAAACGTTTTGCATCGTCGGGCGATGGCAGGCTTGCGTCGTGTGTGAATTTCACACCGCATGACGCCCAGTCCGGGATGTATAACCAAAGTGATGAGGGGCTTGCCCAGCCGCTCCGCGACGATGTTCGCTGCTTGCTTGATGTGTTGACGCGCGTCGAAGGAGCGATGCATTGAAGCCAGCTGGGTCGGCTTCGCCACCAGTTGAAGGAAGAAGGACGCCTCGTAGTATGAACGGAGATCATCTTCCAACATGCGCATCAACCACATGACGACGACCATAAAATCCATCATCCCCTCTGCCACATTCTTCAACCTCTCGTTTGACACGCGGCCACCGTCTTGAAGCTTCGCCGCACCCACCACGCTCATGAAAGCTGACACAAGGCGTTGCAACATCGCCTCTTGATACGTCGCGAGTTCGTCGTCATCAGGTCTGTCTTCGATGTGCAAGCCGACGAACCACAAAGGGAGTTGTATGTCCAATTCCAGTGTGAAGTGGCAAAAAGCCGAACTCACACACACACTCCATTCCTCTGCGAACCACATCGCGCGTGGGATGTCCGTCGCCACGTGTTGCAGCAGGTACCCATACGCGGCAGTGTATCCTCGTGGCGTGCTGTTAGACTTGAAGATCCACTCGTGGATGACGTGTAGGATGACCCTTTGCACCTTCGACGACCTCTCCTTTGCTTCGTGCAACTGTGATTCGTCCGTTATTGTAACCTGTGCGATGGAAGAATGTGGAAGGATGATCTTGCGCGGGAGTAAGGGAGGATGCACACCTCTGATGATGCACAACAAATAGTTGCACGTGTTGTTGACAATCTTGTATAGTCGACTGCCTTCCGTCTCGTTCCAGAAGCGGTTGTCGTCAACCCACAAACCTTGCCTGGTCCGCCAAAACATTTGCCACATTCCCTCTCCGCACCCTGCTCGCCAGTGGCTCCTAGTCGTCATCATCTTCTTTCTTGTCGACAGTTGCTGTAGTACCCGCTGTTGTGGCGGCCACAGCACCACCGCCGCCTGCAGCTGCAACCAAGCCACCGACAGCCGGTCGTTGGACCGCACCCAAGACGACCACCTCCGTTGTTGGCTCCCCCTCCTTCAGTGTCTGACGACGCGACGTCGTCGGCGTTTCATGACCCTATGGCTGTTTGACGACCATCTGCAGCACCCGCCACGCCGACATGAATCGCAGCGTCCTGTCGAACACGCGACGTCAACACAGGTTGTTGCTCAGGCTGCATTTCTTTGATCTGAAGACCGCCACGTGTTGCACGATGGATGTCCTGCAATTCCTCCTCTTCCATGAACATGTCTTCGCATTCATGTTCCCCGAGGCGCACCCACCCGTCGCTGCTACCAGCGCCAATGCTGCCTGAAGCGCCGCTAATGACACGTGGCTTTTTCCCCTTCGGCTACGTTCATATTGGCGGCGGGGACGATGTTGCATTTCTTGCGTCGGCCAGCACCGCGCGTAGACATGACGACGACAACAGAAGGCCACTACGACGACGACAAGGCGGTGTGTGGCAGACGTGGTAGAGGAACTACAACTCCACAACCAGTCGCTGCTTACGTGGACGCTAGTCTCCAATCGCGATAGGTGACGGTGTCAAATCGACGGAGGCCTGACGGCGGAGGCGATTTGTCCGCGGCGAGACGGCAGGCGAAGTTGGAGGAGGTGAGACAGCAGACGCGAGGTGGCAGAGACTGGACTGCAGAGGCGAGATGAGAGAGGATGGAGACAACGGCGAGATGGTAGAGGCGAGCTGGCAAGGGCGACACGGGACTTGCCCGCTGACAGCAGTTGGAGGACAGATGCAAGATTGAAGAGGATGGTGACAACGGCTAGACGGCAGACTCTAAGGCGAGGTGGCAGAGACGAGACGGGAGAGGTGAGCTGGGAGCGGTTGGACAGCAGAGGCGAGATGGGAGAGGATGGTGACGTTGACGAGACGGCAGAGGCGAGACGGGAGACGATGGTGACGCACATGGAGACGACAAACGCGAGACGACAGAGGCGAGATGGGAGAGGATGGACGCCGAGACGGCAGAGGCACAGATCTCCGAATGCTAGGATGTGTGTGGATCCGGGAGACGATTTCGGGAAGCCCTAGCCTATAGACGACAATGGCCAGTTGCCGTATATATGAAAGGGACACGCGGGGTCTACACAGGGCATGAGCGGCATCGACGAATCGTCTGACGAGAAAAAAACGACGGCAGACAGTGACACGTCTGCCTTTCGTCTCGCCTCCCGGGCTCCCCCGTTTTCGAAATGACTTTCGTGGGCTGCGCGGACTCGCCCTTTCCCACCCCAACGTCGCTGTCCAATCTGAACCCTCTCTTAAACCCCAACCCCAAAAGGCTTGAAGCACCAATGGACTCCCTCACGTGCGACACAGCGGCGTCTTCGCCCCCCCACAACAAGTCGATCCCCCCATCACCCGATCCCCCCACCAACCAAAGACCCCCAACCCGCCCCCTCAGAGACAACCACCCCCCAACCAGCAGTTGTAATAAATTGGGAAATTACATCCAGATTTCGACTACGTTAAAGACTCGTCTTCGTCTTGTTTTTGACCTTTCTTGGACATGGACTGCATTAGATGCGAAAGAACATCATCGTTGACTCAATTTTTCCCATTTCGAATGCTTCATTTAATTAAAACCTTCGACGACTTCATTAAGCACACGACCTGCTTTCGACATGGGCTGCATTCAAGACAACACCTTTTCCATACATGGACTGCATAAAAAACACGAAATTGAACTTCTCCGTTTCCATAATTAGAGAACAACCTTTTTTTTTGGGAAAGCACCGTTTCACACACACACACACACACACACACACACACACACACACACACACA